CAGGTGATCTGGAAGTCTGGTTTTGAGACTTATTTACGTGTTTTCTCATTTTGACTGGGGGGGCGGGGGGGGTGCTGTTGGCACCCGAGAGGATCACCTCCTCTGAGCTGGGAGTGGTGGGACGGGGCGGGGAGCAAGGGTAGGGATGGTGGCCGGAACCCCTTCCTCTGGGCCGGGAGCGGCAGGACAGAAGGCGGCCCAAAAGCCCTTTCCTCTGGGCTGGGGGCAGAGGGAGGGATGGTGGCCAGGAAGCCCCTTCCTGTGGACCAGAAGCAGTGGGACGGTGGCTCAGAAGCCCCTACTTCTGGGCCGGGGGCGGTGGGACCCAGTACCATGGTCTGGTGTCCGGTGTCCTCTGTGTCTTTAGCGTCTTTGTAGTGTGGAACCAGGTGGCTGCCTCAATTTTTGGCATTTTAAGTTGCATTAGTCCCATACTTCTTTTCCAGTCCCATGATAGCCTAGAAAAACAGAAATCTCAATGAAAACCGGTATCTTAGCAACTTGTAGAGGGGGCAGAACAGGGCTGGACTCCTCTCCAAAGCCCATCTCACAAGTAACTGTTATTATGTGATGTGCCTGACAGTTCTTTGGTGCTATGTTTGAATATGAGTCTTATCCACCAAAGGCCCACATGTTACAGGCCTCCTCCCAGGGTAACAGCATTGGGAAGTACTATGGAATTTAAGAGGGGATCCTGGGGAGAGGCCCTTAGGTCATTGGGGGTGTACCTTTGAAGGGAATTGTGGGGCCCCAGCCCCATCCTCTTTTTCTGCTTCCTGGATCATGACATGACTGACTGCTATTCACAATTCACACTTCTGCCATGATTTTCTGTCCTGGCCACCGGCTGAAAGCAACAGGGCTCCCTGAGTTTGGTTAGAACCTCTAGAACCATGAGGCAAAGTACCTAAGTTGTGCACTTCGGGTGTTTCATTATAATAATGCAAAGCTGACAACCAATCAGTTTTACATATGCCAGATTTATATTCTGCAAAGAGCAATAAAGAAACAAATAGCAGGTGGAATCCATTTTCTGAAGAGACTGGCAGCAAAAGTATACTAATTTCAGAGGCAACAGCAGTAAACATTCAGATATATGATACCTAGTGGGACAATTTATAAACTGGAGCAAGTGAGTTGTCTCACCAATGTCAGTGGCCATGGGCCTTCACTGGAACCTCGTGATGTGGTTTGTGTGAGAGTTTGGATATGTATATCTTCCAAAGATGGCTCTCTGGCTCTCTAGGAGATTCAACAGGGCTACTTAATATTCCTTAATGAAGTCCTTTTCTGTTTAATCTAGTGGAATGAGTTCGGTTGTTAGTAATTAAATACCTCAATTGATCAAAGGGGTTGGAACATTTCTCCAAAGAGAACAGTTAATGAGCTCTACTGTGTCATTTAGAATGTTTTTGAATTTGTATAACAATCCTCAACTCAAATCATGTTCAGAAATAAGGAAATTGATTCATATAACAGGTACCTCATACTTCAGTTTGGGTTTATTTGCAGCATAATGAGATCACCATTGTCCTAGGTCAGTGATGGCAAACCTTTTAGAGCATTCAATGATATAAACAGCCCACTGTGGCACATGTGCCATAGTTCACAGCCACTGCCCTAGTTTCTTCCTCTGTTTCTTTGCAGTTCACAATATTATTCATCTAAAGCTGGTGGCCCCTTTTGTGGTCATAGAACAGCTACCTACCCATCTTTCTTATTTCCTTGATTATATCCAGCTTAAGAATCTCTTGGTTGTCTCCCAGAAGAACAAGGAAGAACTTTTCTTTAAAAAATCACAAACAGCGGCCAGGGATTTAGCTCAGTGGTTCCAATGCCTGCGTCGCAAGCTCAAGGACCTGAGTTCGATCCCCAGTACCAAAAAAAAAATCACAAATAAACCTTTCATCCTCTTTCTGTGGTTAATAGAGGAATAATCATTAGCAAGGGAGATGGAAGTATCTGCAAACTAATTGGATCCCCCCAAAGGGAAGAAATTGAATAGAGTCCATCACACAGTGTGTACAACCACAAAATTATCCATTTATAAACAAAATAAAGATTATCCATCTATGAACTATCACATTATTAACTTTGAAAATGCTTTTATAGTAACCTATTGAAATAATTGTTATTGATCTCAGGGGTTTTTTTTGTTTTTGTTTTTGATACTGGGGATCGAACTTGGGTCCTTGCACTTGTACAGCAGGCAGCGAAACCACTGAGCTACATCCCCAGCCCTTATTGATCTCAGTTTTAAAGATGAGGGCACCAGGAAGAAGGTGAATGACTTGCTCTAGTTTACACAGTAGGGAGATGACCAACGACTCAAATCTGTGTCTTATGATTTCAAACTTTCGTATTTTTCTCCACTTCATGTTGGGTATTCTTAAGACAAGAAGAGTAAATTAAATATTTTAAATAATTTTCAGGTGTCATGCCAATATAGAAGTTTCTGAGAAAAAATATCTTAGAGTCCTTCTGAAAGTCCTTAATAGTAATTTTTAAAATTTTATTAGAAATAAGGAACTCTGAAGACAGTGAAGTTTCCTACCCACCTCTTCTACCTAGCAAAGTGGATCTCCGTCAGGTCACCATAATTCCACATGATGAGTGGAAAAGGATTCAGGATAGCCTGGACAGTTTGACAAGAGAAGCAGCAGCTCTTCGTGCAGAAAGAAAGGCAAAACAAGAAATGCATCTCCAATCCCAAGAAGTGGTGAAACATTGGACTAATACATATGCAGTAAGTTTTAATCCCCCAGAGGTTCACATGGCACTGAAGAATTACTTTTATCTCTTAATACTCTACTTCTTTATGGATAATTCTGTGCATACAGTGTCAGAAAATGCATTGAAACACATTTTTAACAGCTTTGTTTAGGTGGGAGTGATATACAATAAGCTAGATGCATTTAAAGTGAACATTTTGATAAGTTTTGACCTGTGTATATACCCCAAATCCTCATTACAATGGAGCTAATGAGCATATTGATTACCCCAAAATTTCCTTGTGTCCTACCTACTCCTCTCTATCCCTGGGTCACCACTGATCTACTGCCTATTACTGTAGAATTTATTCAGCACATGTGATTCCACTTCTCTTGGATAACTATCCTTTTTTTTTTTTTTTTTTTGCCCCATACTGGGGATCAAACTCAGGACCTTGCACTTGCAAGGCAGGCGTGGCGCCACTGAGCTAAATCCCCGGCTCGGTAATTATCTTCTGTAGAGTGGAATTCTTCTGCATTTATTTGTAAACCTAAATATTAAGGGCATATGTAAGTTATAATCTAAAAAACTTGATTAAAAAAACTTTGACAGATAAAGATTGGGAGAGTGATACAGCTCCTCTATCTTGTTTTTACATGGAAGTAGCATACTATACACAATGTCTTATGTCTCCATCGGTGCTAAAGAAGAATAAATGAAGATGCATCTTACCAGCAGCAATACTTACTATAAACACAGTAGTAATTTGAGGCCACAGATTTAGCTCAGTGGTGCCACGCTTGCCTTGCAAGCGCAAGGTCCAGAGTGCTATCCCCGGTACCAAACCAAACCAAACCAAACCAAAAAACAGTAGTAATTAAAACTGGGATCAGGCAAAGATGTTGACAAAATAGAATAGTTCAGATGAAACAGCCTAGAACAGTGGTGGTGAACCTATGGCACGTGTGCCACAGCAGGCTGTATCATTGAAAGCTCTAAGAGGGTCACCGTCACTGAAACAAACCTGTGTTATATATGAGAACTCAACATATGACGGAAATGTCATTGCAAACCAGAAGGAAAAGGATAGGAATTCGATAACTGATTACTTTGATAATTGGCAGATGAAAAATATTGAATTCGATACCAATTGTACAGAATATCGAAAATGAGGGCTGGGGATTTAGCTCAGTGGTTCCGTCACCTGCCTTGCAAGTGCAAGGTCCAGAGTTCAATCCCCCGTACAAAAAAAACAAAAAACAAAACCAACCAAACAAACAAAATATATAGTGAATTTTAGCTGGATTAAAGGCCCAGGTTTAAAAAGCAAAACAATAAAATATTAATATAAATTATAGAATCCCAGAACATAAATCATAGACTTATTTAACAGTCATCACAAGTAACTTGTTCTCCAAACATAGAAAGTGGCCACCAGAGGGGAAGAAAGACCTCCTGTGACATAAGACCTTCAGTAAACTCCTCAGATGTCTAGAAGAACATAAAAATATGCCACTGGGCCGGGGATCTAGCTCAGTGGTACTGCCGCCTGCCTTGCAAGCATAAGGTCCCAAGTTCAATCCCTAGTACAAAGAAAAAAATGCCACTGTTGGTTTCCTAAAGAAGCAAAATAGTAAGATATATATTTATTGTTTAACTGGAGAGGAACTTTGGAAATAAACATAAAACCTCATACTAGAGGTGATCTTAGAGTGAGAGGAGATAGCAGATGGAAATTAGGGTGGAAGGGCGAAGCTCCCTGTGTACCCCTATAATATTTTTGGGTTTGAACCATTTAAAAGTGTACATACCTAAAGAATTCAATTTCATGAGCCAGGGATTTAGCTCAGTGGTGCTGATCTCCAGTACCAAAAAAAACCAAACCAAAACAAAATCAAACCCACAAGAATTCAATTTCAAAAATTACCTCAAAACTGTAACTTCATATTTATTAAATATGCCAATGCAGTAAAATTCATAAGGACAATTCAAATTATTATAACGTTAAATTTTGGTAAAATTAAATTGCAAAATACAAATTGGTTTGGAGTTGGGGGTATAACTTAGTGATAAAGCACTTACCTTGTATGCATGAGGCCCTATGTTTGATTCCTAGCACTGGAAGATAAAAAACATGGCCTTTGTCTTTTTACAGGGGATGAAAGAACAGAAACTTAAAACCAAAACAATGCGCGATAAAGAAATTGAAGCCAAAAGACAAATCCTGGATCTGGAAGAGGAAATCCACAAACAAGGAGAAAGAAAAAAGGCCATTGAATATGCAAAGCAGTATCACTTTTACCAGACAGAAAGAGTGAAGAATTTTCATGTACTATTTGAATTTTCTTCTCTTTTTATATATTCAACATGCATAATTAATTATAATCTCCATTTAAGTAGATGTTATTTTCTTAAATACTGCAATTTTTTTTTCCAGTCAGGACTTCTTCTCAGTAGAGTTATGAAAGAACGTGATGCCCAGATTGAATTCTGTAAGAGTAAGATAAAACCAGATACCAAATGGGAAGAACAACTGAAACTCAACATTGAAAAAGCTTTTAAAAAAGAGCAAGAAAAAGCAGAAAAACAACACAGAGAAAGAATGGCTCTTGCTGAGGAGCATCTAAAACAGTATGTATACATAATTACCTCCTTTGTATCTTCCTCATTTTCTAGTAATGGATATAACTTTGTTTTCTAATTACAAAGTAATACATGCTAACATATTTAATAGATAAAGTGCAAACAAAGAGGTTGAAACTCACTAGTCCACTCTCATGAAGAGTCTGTAAGGGTCTGCCTATGTTTAACAGCCTGATGGGGTCAGGCACATAAGGCACTATAGTGATGCCAAGGAGAGGAATTTGACCAAGAACCATAGATATATATGTTGGAAAGGAACTTAGCAGAATACCTATTGGTACTGCAAAGCTTTCATTCCTTCTCTAGATAGGTAAGCCTTTCTCTAGGAAGAGGCTGGTACACCTTGTTTGAGAATATGATACAATCTTTTCCTTAAGTTCACCATCTGGGGAAGGAGGGTAGAAACTGGAAAACATAAGTTAGAATATAATGATAAATTTCTTAGAAAATATAAGTGGAAAGTGCGTGGAAACCTATACAAACACTGATGGTTGGTCCCATCAGCTTCTCCCTAAAAGGAAAAATCATCATAGGATAGTTTGCACCACTCTCTCCCAGGTAAGATGATCTTGGGAGAGAGGAGCAAGAGGGACGAGGGCTTAGGTGATCTCCCGCAGTGTACAGATTTCAGGGCCAGCCTAGAACTGATACTGTAGTGTAGACCGCTCCCTGGGCCCCAGCGTCAGTGTTGGCAACCTCCATGTCTCCATTTCAATGTCTCACGTGTAGGTCAAACTTAAAATGTCCAGCACAGAATTATTGTTTCCCCATCCTTACTGTGGACCCTTGTCCACCCAGCTGTTCAAATCAGAAAGCTAGGAATCCACCCGATTCCTCGTTTTCCTTTACCCTGTCAGATCCATCAGGAATTTGTTTTTCCTCTCTGAAACAAATCTTGAGCTTACTGCTATCACCTTAGTCCAAATCACTTTCATATATTCCATGGATTATTGCATTCACCTTTTTTGTTTGTTTAATTGTTTGGGGGTTTTTTGTTACATAAAAATCCAACTTTATTGAACATAGGAATAGATGGATTTTCAAATTAATTATTTTTGCTTTATGGTTATTGGTATCTGATCCATGGTAGAACTTACTAACTGCTACTATATGAAGATGCTTGTCTATTCTTAATTTTATATTCATAAACAAATATATTTGAATCTAGAGAAAAACATTTGTGATTGGCTTATTAGTGCATGGTAATCCCTGGTATATGCACTGCTTAAGCTAGTAATAAGGGATCATCCATTCTACAGCAAATTTGAATTTTATACAAAAATTCAGTTTTACTCTTATTCTTACATTAAGTGGGAGCTGACATCTGTAACTTACAGGCGAGCAAATACTTTTGTTTTCTACCTTCTAGCTGAACAAAAACACACATAATGTTTTCTTTAGACAAGACTTGGGGTTTGTTTTTTGTTTTTTGTTTTGTACCGGGGATCGAACTCAGGTCCTTGTGCTTGCAAGGCAGGCAGAGGAACCACTGAGCTAAATCTCCAGCCCCAAGACTTGATTTTTATATTTCAATGAGAATACCATATAACCCTTCCTTAAACAAAATAACCAGGGTATAACAGTGATATATGTGCACCCATGTTCATAGCAGCACAGTTTGTGATAGCTAAAACTTGGAAACAGCCCAAATGCCCTTCAACTGGAGACTGGATAAAGAAAATGTGGGGTTTTTAAAAAATAAAATGGAGTACTACTCAGCCATAAAAAATGAGAAATTAGAGACATTTATAGCTAAATGGATGCACATTGAGGCAATACTCTTAAGTGAAATAAATAGGGCACACATGTATAAATACCGAATAGTTTCTCTGGTGTGAGAAACTGAAAGTATAAATAAGGACTAAAATGTATAATAGGTAATGTGAAATAGGAAGAAAAGGGGCAAAGGGGAAGGAAGCGGGAGGGGTAGGGGAAAGGAAAGAAGGGTATGGAATTAATATGAGAAAATGGAAAAACAGGAACAAAATCTTTGTAAATAGGGAGGAATGGAGGGGTTGAAGGGAGGACTGGGCAAGGGTGAAAAATAAGAACCAAGAGAGATTATGTAAAGTTGTAAATTTCCAATGATGAATGTCATTATATTGTATACCTAAAATGTACCAATGATTAGAATGAATAATCGATAATGCAAAATAGGAAGAAAAGGTCCAAAGGGGTAGGAGTAGTGGGAGGGGCAGGGGAAAGGAAAGAAGGGAAAGGAAAAATGCTGAGAAATGGAAAAAATGGAAATAAAGTCTTTGTAAATAGGGAAGGGTGGAGGGGGTGAAGGGAGGGCTAGGAATGGGGAAAAAATAAGAACCAAGATGCATCATATAAAGGTACAAGTTCCCAGTGAGAAATGTAATTGTGTTGCATACCTAAAATGTACCAATAAAAGAATTTAAAAAAAAATAACCAGGGTATAATGAAACCATCTTTGGAGGAAATGTTTAATATGCATATCTTATTTAAAGAAATCCTCCAATAAGAAATGGAGAATTCATTGCCTTTACTTTGAAGGCTTTGTAGTTATCTGTCAAATTTGTATGTGCAGCTCACCAACATTCCCTTATTGGAAATAGCAGTATTTCCACATAATAGTTCTCAAAAGGACTTAAAAGTCTCAAAATTCTGTGTCTCTTTTGGCTTGCTTCTCTCTTGATTCCACCAAGGCTTCATTAATGGTTTGCTTCATATCATCATCTCCATCTTCATAAATTTTCTTTGGAACATTCATTAATCCCTCACTAGGATCTGTTTCAGCATCATAGGATGGCTTTTTTCTTTGCATTCTTTTTCAACCTGAGTCAAGTATTCCCATCGTATGTTTTCTGCTTTCTTTCTACATACTATAAGAACTGTATCAGTCTTGATTTTTTTTGAACTGCCTTCCAGTGAGATGGGTTTCAAGAAATTGTTCACAATCCCAGAGTAACTCTTCCCATTTAGATTCTTTACCAAAAGATCAAATGACCTCTCTGTGAAATGCACCTGCACGTTCTCAGCTGGAACTTGCTGAACTCCAGTTAAGGTAATGTAGATTTTCACAATCTTATCTGACTGATCCCATCCGTAATTACTGATTTTCACAGTATATCCTGTTGTGATGGGAGCAACCACAGCAGCTGGTTTTTCATTGTCAAGAAATTCTGGTTTCTTTTATGATTTTTGTTGCGCCTTGTTCTCTTTTTCTGTGTCGATCCTGGATTTTTCAGCTGTCAGGGCATCTCGTACTCTCTTCCTAGTGGCCTTTTCCAACAACACCTTTACCTCCTCTAGATCATTCAACTCCTCCAAAGCTGAAGCCATGGGCGGGCTGGGTCAGACCGGAGGCCAGAGCAGCAGGCGTGCACGCAAGGACAGGAACCGCCGGACCCAGCGCGCTCTCCGCGAGCGTGGACCTCAGCAGCAGCGCTGACCATGGGATGGCAGCCGCTCACACACCCTACCTGCGCGAGATCGCGGCCCGCCCTCTGCACCTGGGTTTTTTTGTTTTTTCTTTTGTTGTTTTTTGCAGTGCTGGGGATGCATCAGCCTTTTAAATGGCGTCATATTCTTTCTTTCTTTCTTTTTTCTTCTGAGACAGAGTCTTGCTATGCAGTTCAGGCTGACCTTGAACTCATGTAGCTGAGGCTGGCCTCGAACTGCAGTGATCCTCCTGCCTCAGCCTCCCAAGTCTGGGATTACAGGCATGCACCACCATGCCCTGCTCTTATATTTTTTCTTATTCTCCAATCAGGTTCGCTATTGATCAACTACAGAAATTCAATTAAAATGAAAATTGATCAGCAGCTGGGAATTTAGCTCAGTGGTTCCGGCGCCTGCCTCACAAGTGCAAGGACCTGAGTTCAATCCCTGGTACCCCCCCCCATAAATAAATAAATAAATAAAATGAAAATTGATCATATTCTTCTACCTTCATCACTTGAGTCTCTACTCATTCATTTAAAATAAAATGAAGCTGGGTGTGGTGCCACAAATCTATATTCCTAGAGTTGGGAGGCTGAAGCAGTAGGACTGTCTTGAGTTTGAGGCCAACCTATGCTATATAGCAAGACTCTCTCAAAAATAAAATAAAGTAAAATGGAATCTTGGCCGTGCCCTGGAGGCCTCATCTCTTCTCAACCTCCTCTCTGCTTCTTCCCCTTCCCTACCATGCCCCCACTGCCCAGGACCTTGAGCTCTGCTAAGAACTTCCTTGCTTCAGTGCTTCTTAAATACTTTCTCTTACATACATAAAGCTGGAGCTTTATCCTCCCATTCTCCATCTGAGGGCTTCTTTCCTGACTTATGGTATAGCTCTGTTCAGAGTGATCAAAATCATTCAGTCATTATTTTTGTTAGCTTATTTTCTTGTAACACCAGTTTGTAATTATGTTGTCTATTTTCTTTGTTTGATTTTGCCTGTATCCCTCACTAGAAAGTAAGCTTTTTTTTTTTTTTGTACTGGGGATCAAACTCAAGACCTTGTGCTTGCAAGGCAGGCGCCAGAACCACTGAGCTAAATCCCCAGCCCCCAAAAGTAAGCTTTTTGAGGGCAGGAACCATGTATGTTTTCATCATTATAGTGGAAATTCAATAAATAATTATTAGATAGTTGAATATAAGGTCTAAAAATTACAGAAGCATTAAATATGATTCCTAGGTCTCTAGCATAGGCAACTGGAAAGGTGGTGGTACTCTTCACCAAAACAAGAAAAAGAGACCAAAAAGATCATTTTAGAAGAGGAAGATGGTGCCACTAGTTTTATTTTTTTTTAATTTTTTTCTGGTACCGGGGATCGAACTCAGGTCCTTGAGCTTGCGAGGCAGGTGGCGGAACCACTGAGCTAAATCCCCGGCCCAGTGCCACTAGTTTTAGACATGGTGAGTGTAAAGTACCTATGCGATAGCCAGGTGTCAATGCCTAGTAGTTGTCTCTGTAAGAATCAAGCCTGACCTTTGTAACAAAGAGCACTCTTCATTTTTTATATTTGACTTCCAACTTCTTTTGAGGCCTCAACCCTACCTTCCCTTTGGCCCTGATTCTGGACAGGCTGATAGGGGCCCCTGAACTCAGCTCACCTTCTGTTGATACTAGCAGGAAGTGTAACTCCAGCATGTACAGAAACTTCTCCCAAGTCCACCCTCTGCTATGCCAGAGCCGATGCAGCCCTACTTGCACCTGCCCAGCTCTGCCTGGGAGTCATGTAATACTTTCTCAAATCCTCTTGGCAGAAGGGGTGTTGTTAACCTTGACACCTGAACCAAATTTTGGGTAGTGTTCCCTCCTGCTTTTACAAGAGGACTACTTAAGATCTATCTAGGCTTGAGAATAGTATCTGGGCTAGATAGACGCAGGTGTGGGATGGTCAGTCAAGGGTAGCAGAGAGCTTTCTTGACCTCTTCAGCTCTGACTGGAGAGCTCATTGGTACAGATTGCCCTGTGCATTAAGGGAAAAGGCCAGCAGCACTCAGCAGGACACAGTTTTCTATAGATTACTGATGTCTGCTCTGGGGATGGGAGTTGGATGTAAAAATATGAATTTTTATTCATATTTCTGCCTTGATCCAGAGGACCTAAAATTTCCCTCAACATGTTAACTTTGCATTAAGACAAATTACCCCCAAAGTAAAAGTCCTTATGGAGAGGAAATTAAATGTTAATTATTAATTTTATGCATATTACTGATAATATCTTTTCACTGACACTGAGATATTTTTGTAATTTTCCTTTTTAAAAAAATTTTTTTGGGCCGGGGATTTAGCTCAGTAGTTTCGCCACCTGCTGCGCAAGTGCAAGGACCCGAGTTCGATCCCCGGTACCAAAAAAACAAAACAAACAAAAAAATTTTTTTCGCAGTACTGGGGATGGAACCCAAGGTCTTTGCACTGAGCTACATCCTCAGGCCTTTTTTATTTTTATTTTTGAGAAAGGGCCTTGCTAAATCACTAAGTTGGCCAGGCTGGACTTGAACTCGCAATCACTGTGTGTCAGCGTCCCAGAGTGCTAGGATTACATGTGTGCACCACCATGTCCAGCAGCATTTTCTTTTGTCTTATTCATGCACAGAATAGGTAAGATTTTTTTTTTTTTGCTAAAATAAGGAATGATACAGTGGATGCATGGATATAATGTTAGTTCTGGATTTTCTAAGAAATGTTAAAGCTGTAAATGTTTTATATCTTGATTTCTCTTAAAGTAGCAGTTTGAAAACTTCAAAAACTTAGTTTCACATAATTGGATATCCCGGGCTGGGGATTTAGCTCAGTGGTTCTAGTGCCTGCCTCGAAAGTGCAAGGTCCCGAGTTTGATCCCTGGTATGAAAAAAAAAAAAAAAAAAGAAGACAAAATTGGATATCTCTTTTTTGGGGGGGTACCAGGGATTGATCTCAGGACCTTGAGCTTGTGAGGCAGGCTCAGTGCCACTGAGCTAAATCCCCGGCCCATGGAGATCTCTTTTTATAATGTGGTTTAAATCTTGATTGTATACTTGTGAGTTTATTACTATAATATTAATAGATATAAAATATTAAAGTGTTAAAATAAAGAAGGAAATAAGAAATTGAAAACTTATGATTTTAGGACAATCATAAACCTGGTTACTCTGAATGGATGTAACTCTATAGACCAAGGACTCTCCTGTCTCGGATTTATTGGCTCACCTAACTATAGTCCTCTACTGCAAGGGAAGGGAATTTCCTCTCCCTGAAGCTGAGAGGACTGTTTCTCAGCTGTTTGCTTAGATTGTTGATTTGTCCTGTGTCTTCCTGTTGAGGAAGGGAGAAACAATCGGAAAGAGAGCAGCTGGCGTAGCAGTGGAACAGCTGCCGGCAGTTGACTGGCTGACAGGGAGTGCAGGTTTCCCACAGGCAGGTGGACATGCTGGGTTGCGGCCAGGTGAGTGGGTGTGGGGGCTCCTAGGAGTGACGGTGGTGGGGTTGGGGAGCCGAGTGGAAGAGGTGATGATGGAGATCAATCTCCTGAGCAGGAGGCCCCTCAGAGATGTCTGAAGGATTCGCACACAAGCCCCGAGAGCCAGTGTTTGGAGGCAGCGTCCGAAGGTAGCACCGGGCCCCAGGAAGCATGGCAGCAGGGTGGCCATCTGGATAAGGGGACCTTTGCTGCTCTCCTTCTGTCACCTGCGGCTTCTGAGGGCTCAGACCCTTACCATATGTAGCACCAACTGGTGCTGCAATTGAGAAGTACTGGAGATTAGGGACTTTTCTGTAAATAAGGTCACCATTATCCCTTCCAGTCATTCAGTTAATTGCTTCTTTCTCAAGAAAGGGAACACTCATCTTGTTTTGGTGAGGAATGAAACAAATTTGGAAGCAGGGAAAGCACTGACAATTCTGGATTTGTTTGGATTTGTTCTAGTCACTGCTACTTCATGTCTGTTCTTTTCCCCAAAGAAAATCACAAATTCTTCCTTAAGCTTCAAATTATCCCAGGTTAAATCTAATTTATTTCCTTAAAGTATAACCTATTTTTCTGGCTTGTTCTTAGTTACTTTTATGTTTTTGCTTTAGAATAAAGGAACATGAAGAAGAAAAAGAAAGGAGGAAAAAACATGAAGAAAAAGATGCCGAGGAGATAAAGCGACAAAATTTATTGTATGAAATAGAAATGAGAAAAAAACTAAAAAAGAAAAAAGAAAAGATAGATGAAAGCAGAAAGCTGTTTTTTGTAAGTTTAAAAAACAAAAGTTCAAAAAGTATATAAAGTCAAATGCCTAACTTTTTTTTTGGTACGGGGGATCCAACTCGGCACCTTGCGCTTTCAAAGCTACGCGTGGTGCCACTGAGCTAAATCCTCGGCCTCTAACTTTCAATATATTAAAAAAAATAGTGGAGTGGGAAACAAGTCTCCATGCAGTTGGGAGGGCAGTCTCCATGCAGTAAGGGAGGGCCCCTGTGTGGGAGTTGCATTGCTTTGGTTTTGTGTGTACCGTATATGCTCTCATGTAGGGAGGAAGACAATGAGTTTTCTTTCCAAATGAATTTTTTTGTCCTCAAAATAAGTGTGGTAAGGATTATGTTTGGTATCTCCTGTGCTACTAATATCTGCTTAGTAAATGGTAATATTTTATGGCTGTTGCAATTTATTTAATAATTTTCACATTTTTCTTTAAAATTAGTTTTTATTCTTAATCTGTGCAGAGCGAAAACATCAAACTTCAAAAGCCTTAGAATAATAATAGCAGTTCATCGCACCATTCTATCTGCCTCCTAGATGCAGCTATTCCCAAGTTATTTTACCTGTTTCCCCGGTACAAAATTATATCCTAAGCTTATGTTCATTCTCCTCTCTCTCTCCCTTTCTCTCTTTGTCACTCTCTCTGTCTATCTACATGTATATCTGTATCCTCACACATGCCAGACACTACCACTAAGTTATACCCCTAGGTCCTATATTTGTATTTTTAAAAAATATATTTGGTTCTGAAAGATATATATATATTTTTTTGGTACCAGGGATCGAACTTGGGTCCTTGTGCTCGCGGGGCAGGCGGCAGAACCACTGAGCTAAATCCCCGGCCCATGAAAGATATATATCTTGATTTATCAGTTTTAGCAATTTTCTGGCTCTCTGCCCTGGTAGTCAAGTATTTAGTTCTTTTCCTTTATAGCTTCCTCCTCATCCCTCACACTCCCCTAAATAATTGTCACAATTTTACTTAAATCAGTGTTATGATTTTGTAAATATTTTTCTCTGCCAAAGAAGCAATATACTGCGATTTTATTTCTTTGTTTACATAAATGTTTATTTTCCCATGGTTAGTATGATTGTCTTTATTTTCTTTGTTTTCAGTTGTTCTGATGGCCCTTTTATTTTTATCCTCTTTTTGGTGATCAATTTTGATGGCTTAAGTTGTTCCATATGTTTAAAAAGTTGTGCCAAATGTGTGTTGTGATGTAGTTTTTAGTTTTCAAATGTTCAACTGAGTAATATGAAATGCTCTGTGTTATTGGTTTTCTTGCCTGTCCAGTCTTCCCTCCTCTCTTCTTTCTGGACCCCTTGCTCCCTAGGCAGATTGCCCAGCTTTCATCCTGGGGCTTCCCTATGCCATTTCTGGGGCCACACCTACTTCCTCCCACTTTCTAGATCTAATCTTCCTCTTCTTGGTTTACACCCATCTTGCTGAAATACATCTCTGAGTTGCCTCCTAACAAAGGATATATGGGAGGTAAATTTTTTTCCCTCACCCCAGTACCCATGAATATGGGTTTATGTGGAAATAGATTTTTTAAACTTTTTAAATTTTTATTTATTATATTTTATCCCAAGGCCTCTCCCCGCCCTATGTACAAAAGCTTTGTCTCCATTTTTTCCTTCTATTTTCACTTTTTTTCTTGTCTCTTCCAGTAAAATTTTTGAATTATTTGAGAAATTTATATTCCAAAGTCATACTTGATACCTAATTTAACTGGTTACAGAATTCTGGGTTCATAATTCAGAATTTTGTATTCATGGCTTCATATTCCCCCAGCATCCAGTATTGCTACTGGAAAGCAATAAATACTGCCATTTATAGTTTTCTTCCAGTGTGTGGGGTGATTTTTCTTTTTCTTTTCTCTTTCTTGAAGGGTTTCAGGGTCTTCTATTTATCTCTGGTGCTCTAAAAGTTCACAGCAATGTACCTCCATTCATTTTACTGTGGGGACTCAGTTGATGCTTTCAATCTAAAAACTTATATTTCTTTCACACTGAGAAATTTTTTTTTAACTTTCATGTTAACTTTCTATACTATAATGAAATGCCTGAGATAATTAACATATGAAGAGAAAAGGTTTATTTTGGCTCACGGTTTTGGAGGTTCCAGTGCAAGATCAGGGAGACCCAGGGTTCTGGGTCTCCTGGGGGTGCTGGATGATACTGACAGGGAGCATGTGGCAAAGCAAACTGCTCACTTCATGGCCAGGAAGCAAAAAGCCAGAGACCCACTTTAAAATTGCCACTGAGTCTCTTTGATCCCAATTTAGCCACAACTGGCTAATTTTTTTTCTACTTTGAGAGTTATCCTCAATTGTATATTCCAAGCCTTCTATTGATTTTTTAATTTAAAAAAAATTTTGCAGTGCTGGGGATTGAGCTTAGGCCTTGCACTGACAAGTGCATCTATGCCCCCAACCCTGAATTTTTAAAATGTTAGCTGTCATTTGCTTATAATCTTATTCTTTCTTTTTCATAAATCTTGTTCTTGGATCTTGAGTACAATAATTTTTATCTTTCTAAGTTAATTTCTAAGTTAATTTGGAATAGGACAAAACCTAGTTCTGAATGCTAACTCCACCATTTACGAGTTATGTGACCTTCACTTGAAACTTTCAACCTTTAAAAATAAGAATTAGTTTGGTGTTAACTCAGTATTTTTTTCATTATAAAACATCTATATGTCCATTACAATGACACTGGAGAAAAAGTCACGAAATAAAACTTGCAACAAATCACTCAAAGTAATTACTTTTAACAGTTTAGTGTTTTCATATTGACCGGTATAGCTCCTAACCAGATTATGGCTCTGTGTGTGTGTGTGTGTGTGTGTGTGTGTGTTATTTGAAGATTGAACTCAGGGCTTTTACACTGAGCTAAATCCCCAGCATTTGTGTGTGTGTGTGTCTTTTATTTTGACATAACACTTGCTAAGTTGCTAAGTTACTCAGATTGGGCTCAAACTGAAGCTCCTGCCTCAGCCTCCCAGTGTGCTGGATTACAGGTGTGCACCACCACACCTGGTTTTGAGTGTGGGCTTTTGAAAGTAGCAACCCAGAAAATAGAAGAGTACTTAAGAGCACTTGGCACATAGTAGACCCTGAATTTTAAATATAATTGGAAGATCAAATGTCATATCTAAACAACTTTCCCCTTAAATTAGTTTCTACTTATAGTTACAAATAAACTGATATATTGATATACCCAGGCTATTGATATTCAAAGGCATTCAAAGGCATATCATTTTTATGATAGTTAACTCAGGCAGGGGTCATGGAGTATTGCTGCTATGAACAGATTTTTATTTTTAAAAATAGTAATGTATTTTAAAATTTTATGTTATAGCATTTATCTCTGTTTTCTTCTATATATACAAAAAGAAAGTCTGGACAACTAGTAACTTTGATTGAGTCTGGTGGGGGATCAGGAAGAGGGAGATAGTGAATGGGGTGGAAGGACACTTTACATCTATGTTAAAATATTTAAAAGTTTGAACCAAGTGACCACATTAAGTATATAATATAGTATTTCTTCTGGTTATACAATTTCATTCATTCATTCATTCAAGAGGTTTTTGCTATGTAGCCTAGGCTGGTCCTGAACTCTTGATCCTCCTGCCTCAGCCTCTAGGTGTGCACCAACCACCACATCCAACCAATCATGTATTTTTTGTTGTTTTTGTTTTTGTTTTATACTGGGGATCGAACTCAGGTCCTTGTGCTTTCGAGGCAGGCGGTGGAACCACTGAGCTAAATCCCTGGCCCCAACCATATATTTTTAATTGAGCTATTTGAAAAGAAATACAAAAAGACATTAAGGTGTAAAAGTCACTCATTATCTCATACCCCAAGAAAACTGTTAACATTGGACACATTTCTTTCAATCATACATACATTATAAACTTATTTATATTTGTAAATTTGGAACATATTGTAATATTTTTATAGTCTACTCTTTCCCCCTACTTACTAATTATTTGTATCTTCCTGTGTCATTGAGATTATGACTTATTTAACCATTGTGTTTATTGAGTATTTAGAGGTTACTTTTATTTTTTGCTATCATAATTAACTTTGAGATAAAGTACATTGTGTCTAGACCTTTATTCACACATCTGATCATTTCAGTGGGATAAATTTCCTGGAAAGAAATAACTGGGTCAGAAGCTATGACCATTTGACAGGTTCTTGTTAGATACTGGCAAGTTGAAAGATATTTTTCTTGGTCTTAGGATAATGTGTGTGTGTGTGTGTGTGTGTGTGTGTGTGTGTGTGTGTATTTTTTTGGTACCTGGGATCAAACTTAGGACCTTGTGCTTTCAAGGCAGGCACTGGAACCCCTGAGCTAAATCCCTGGGCCGGGATAATGTATATTTATTTCCCCAAGGAATATATGTCGGATAAAAACATCATCAAAGCTGTCAAACAGCAGCAGCAAGAGGAGGAAGATGAAAAGATTCAAATATTTATCAAAGCAAAAAAGCATCTGGCACAAATCAGGAGAGAAAAAGAAGCTGAAACACACAGGTAGGACTTTTAAATAATTTGTAAATTAATAAAGTGCTGTCTGAGATTATTTTATCATAAATCAGAAGTTATGAGAGTAGTTGTTAGGAATAGAGGTCTCGGGGATTGAGAGACCTGATGGCTGGTCTGGGGCCTGGGTCAGGCCGCCCTGGGATGTACGGATGACTCTGGCCAGTGACTGGAAATGCCGGCCTTCTCTCTCAAAGGTATGAGCTGGGAAGGGCTTGGTGGGCCATGGTGTGTTCGTGGGAGCTGGAGCTGTGGAGACAGGTAGACTCACACGGAGTGGCTGGCGAAGAAATGAAGGTGCTGTAGTCCCTGGGGAACCACACATTTAAAGGCCAAAGGAGAAAAAAGAAAATGAACACCAGAGAAGTTTCTACAGATTGGAGTAAAACCAGAAAAAGCAGTTTCAGTCAGAAGGGAAGTGTCGCCAGGCCTAGATCACTAGAGGAACTGGGGCTGGTTGGAGGTGTAGTTCAGTGGAAGGGGCCCGGCCACACATGTGTGAGGTCCTGTATTCCATTCCCAGCACTACAAAAAATGAAAAAAAGTAAAAGGAAATGCAGGGATTAAATAAGATTTTTAAAATGAAGTATCACTCAAAGTAGAGGTGTGCGCTTCCTTAGTGAGGAGTTTGGATGGGTATAGAAGGGTAGGAGGCCAGATTGCAGTACAGGATGTTTCTCACATGCTTTTCCCCTGTGCAGCATCCTCTCTCACATCTCTGAGTCTTCACAGTGGCCCTTAGGGCTCTGCCCCTGCCCCCTCCCGCTGATCCCATGTGCATCTTTCCCACATCATCTCTCTCACTGTGTGCTCCTTTTCCCTCTTCTCACCTGCACTGGACTTCTCCTGCATGCTCTCTGGGGAATGCTCACCTCCAAAGAATGTGTATCTTGTTCCATTAACTCTTAGAAATAGATTTAAGAAAATTTTTTTGAGACAGGGTCTTGTTCTCTAGTAGGCTAGCATGGAACTCACAGCGATCCTCCTGCCTCAGCTTCCCAAGTGCTGGGATTACAGGCGTGCACCACCACACCTGGCTCACTCTTTCAAATCTTTGCTCAAATAATACTTTTCATGGAGGCTTTCCCTATCATTTAAAATCACATCCTTTCTTTTTTTTTTTTTTTGGTACCAGGGATTGAACTCAGGTCCTTGTGCTTGCACAGCAGACGGCGAAACCACTGAGCTAAATCCCCGACCCTAAAATCACATCCTTTAGAGAGCCCTTGCCTAGCATGCTTCAATCCCCAGTACCACAAAAATCAATCAACAAATCACATCCTTTTTTTTTTTCAAATCACATCCTTTAGATTAATGACCAAAAGAAGAAGAAATCCTACACCTTCTGCATCAGCTTTCTGTCCCTATAAACAAATATCTGAATAGTCAACTTAAAAAGGGAGTTTTATTTTGGCCCGCAGCTTTGGAGGAGTTAAAATGTTTTGTTCAACTGTTATATCCTTAGCACTTGCAATACTGTCTGGTGCATAGTAAACAATCAAAAGTTATAAAATACTGTTTTTCAAATCCTAGCTGAAATTGTGGCTTTCCCACAAGGCTTTCTTCCTTTCCCTCCTCTTTCTGTGTCACTTTCTGGTGTACCCGCAGCATGTATCACCCTTTTCCTTACACAATTCTTTGCATAAATGCCCTTTTTTCCACTTTGTAATTCCCTTGGGGCGTGCACTGTGTCCTTTTGATTGTTTCTCACATGCTGCTTTGCAAATTCACTCAATAAATTAGCAATTTGTCATAACTAAAATATTTTGTCCAGTTTCCTTTCCCCCTGCCTTTAGCAAAATGCATTCATTGTTTATGATGTAGCAGAAACACACTTGGCTCTGGACTAGAAAGAATCTATTCAGTCCCTGACCTTGGGACCTCACAGTGTACAGGGAAAGTGACAATAAACAGATCAAGTCAACAAAGTGCTACAAATAAGTTCCAGACAGGGCATAATGAGAGGATGTATTTAGATAACTTTTTTTTTTCAGTGTTGGGGTCAAACCCAGGGGCCTCAAGCATGCTAGGCAAGCACACTACCAGTTAGCTACATCTCTAACCCTGGATTTTGATAACTTTTATTAGTTATTTCCTAGGTTTTATTTAAAGAAAATCCTTTTCCAATCCAACATCTTCCAATGTTAGAATGAGCAGGTAGTCTAATAACAGAGTTTAAAATTTTTTCAATGTGGAGAATTTAACACCTTTTTTTCTGTACTTACATAATTATATGATGCATAGTATATTACTCTTTGGATTTTTAGACTATGTTACTTTATAGTTATAAAGGTTTATTTCTCCATAAGTAATCAATGCATAAAGGGAACAATGAGTCTCTTTTTAGTTTTATAAAAGATGATAACATATCTCAGATTTTCTAATTAAATTGGGTCCATTACAGATCTGTTCATAAAGATTTGACAAGTATGGTTACTTTTGTTACAGGCTAATGGAGGAACGGAGAGAAAAAATAAATAATTTCCTGAGTGAACTAATAAAAGAGAAACTTGATAATGAAGATTTGATTATTGCTAAAGATATTGCAGAAGCTGAGGCTGAATGGGAGAAAAAAGAAAAAGAAAAGTGTGAAAAAAACAAAGCAGATTTAAAAGCAATTGCAGAACATAGAGCCATTATGGTAAACAATTAAATTATGACAAATACAAATAGACAAATTTAAGACTTTTCCACTGTGGTTTCTACCCCTTCTGTCTCTTTGACCCAAAACTTGCAAATGTGAAAAACAAAGTATAAATTGTCTTCCTATAATCATGAAATTGGACAATGTCTACTTTCTGACAGAAGGTGACATGACAATTGATTACAAATATTTGTAAATGCAAAGACTGTTTGAGAACCATCTTAATATACAAATAATACTCTTTATTTAATGTCCTTTTTTTGTGTGTGGTACTGGTGATTAAACCTAGGATCTTGTGCACGTTGGGCAAGCACTCTACCACTGAGCTATACACCTTGATCTTTTTGAGACTTGGGTCTCTCTAAGCTTCCCAGGCTGGCCTTGAACTTGCTGTCCTCCTGCCTCAGCCTCCCAAGTAACTAGGATTACAGACACGTGCCATCATGCCTGACTCAATATACTTTTCATATAGATGTTTTAAAGACTAAGTAAAAATAACCAAATATTTCTGTATTTCTTTTTTTCTTTCTTTCTTTCTTTTTTTTTTTTCAGCCCTGCATCTGCAGGGCTATTTCTGTATTTCTTAATCTTTAAAAAAAAATATATCTCCTACATGACTATCCTAACATTTAAATGGGATAGCTTATAAACCTTGTAACAATTAAATTTTCACCTACAAATATTTTTCTATATTGAGAAGCTCTTATTTTTTTGTTCCTATGTTTTCTTTCTTTCTTTTTGAAGTATTGGGGTTGAACCCAGAGCTTTGCATGTGCTATGCAAGTGCTCTACCACTGAGCTATATCCCCAGGCCTTTTAAAATATTGAGACAGGTTCAGTTGCTCTTGTTGGCCTCAAACTTGCCATCTTCCTGCATCAGCCTCCTGAGTAGCAGGGACTATAGTTTCCCACAACCAACCCTGGCATTTTTTTTTAAATCAATAGAGACTGGTCTGTATCACTCTAATTAGGTTTCTATTGAGTGTTTCCTGATAATTCAAGAACGAAAATAAGGCATGTGGAATCCATCTAGGTCCTTATAGTTTTCTGCTCCTGCATTGCTCCTGGATGACTTTCTGTTTGAAACTTTCTGACTCTGTTCTTTTTCATTCAGAACTGGTTGCTAAAACTAGTTTTAATTTTCCCTTTGCTTTTAAACATCTAGATGAAAAATAAAGAGGAAGAAGAAAGACAAAGGAAAATAGAATCTAAACAACAATTGCTGGCAATCATGAAAGCAGATCAAATTTTCAGGGAGCAGGAAAAGGAGAAAAAACACAAAGCTGATATAGAACGCCGAGAAGTTCAAGATGCCCATATTCAACAAATGGTAATGATTCCTAAATGTTTTCATGTACTTCAGTGATAAATGTGGAATACAGAATTTGTGCTGGTTTGTCTTCCAACCAGTTTCTTTTGTTGGGTAAGAACAAATGGTCGTTACATTTATGATGCTATACAATATGTCAAAAATGTGAGTTTTCTGTTTTTATATGCACTGAGGTTCCCACACTAGGTTTTTCTTTTACACAATGTTTATTCTTCTTTAGTTTCTAGTGTGCTTTAGTCAATATTAATGAAAATGCAAATGCATGTGATAGTTTACAATAACCCTCATCTTCTTGGTTTTACTTTTTTCCCCGTTGCTTGGGACCTCATGGTTTTTGGCTGGGAGGGGAGTATGGGGGTCACAGATAGTAGAGGAGTTGGCATCCAATCATTTCCGACTAAAAGCTGTTTTCCAAAATGGCAATACCATTTTCTGTTCCTACCAGTAATGAATAGCACAGGTTGCTTTACATCCTTACCAATGCTTACTATTGTCACCCTGTAACATTAGCTTTTCTAATATAAGATGTGCTTTCCTTTGGATCTCCCTGATGACTAAAGATGATATCTTTTCATGTCCTTATTAGTATTTGTATGACTTCTTTTATGAAATGTCTGTTCAAACCTATTGCCAATTATTTAATTAGCTTTCTTTATTGTTTTAAAAACTTGTGTTCAAATATACAACATAAAATTTAGCATCTTATCCCCCCCCCCTTTTTTAGCTTTTGAGAAAGGTTCTTATGTACTCTAGGCTGCCTTTGAACAGATTTTGTAGCCCAGGCTGCCCTTGAACTCATGGCAATCCTCCTGCCTCAGCTTTCCATGTGCTGGGATTTACTGGCATGTGCGCCCTTACCCATTTTTAGGTATTCAGTTTAGGGGCATTAAGAACATTCACACTGCCTATCACCAAATGTTTTGCCCCACCCATGGGGTGCCTTGTCACTCTTGATACTATCCTGGATGCACAAAAAAGGTTTTAATGTTCATACATCCTTTTTGCCTTTTTTTTCATTTTATGCTTTTGATGTCATACCTGACATCATTTCAAAAGCTAAAGTCATGAAGCCTTTTCCTATGTTTTATTCTGAGACTTTCGTAGTTTTAGCTCTTAAGTTTTATCTCTTTGAACCATTTTTAGTTAATATTAAATTTATGGTCCTTTAGGTAAAAGTTCAGCCTCATTCTTTTGCATGTGGATATCCAGATTTCCCAGCACCATTTTTGGAAAGACTCTTCTTTCCTTGTTGAATCAACACAACAACTAGCACATGTGCCTTACTTGTAAACTTGGTATTTCACATTCATGTGAGTTGCTTTAGTCCCTCGCACATTTCAATTTATTGAAGATATCAGGTCTAGGCTACTGTTTTGTACTGGAGTTTTCAGTTTTTAAAAATATTTTCATGGGGGCGGGGATTTAGCTCTGTGGTTTCGCCGCCTGCTGCGCAAGCGCAAGGACCCAAGTTCAATCCCCAGTACCAAAAAAAAATTTTTTTTTCATGGATATAAATATGTTCATATGTAGGTGAAAGAAGTTTTAAAATCCAGTATTTCTTAAAATGCTGTAGAAAAGACAGAATCAAAAGTTGCTAGGGCCGGAGATTTAGCTCAATGGTTCTGCCACCTGCCTCACAGGTGCAAGGTCCCAAGTTCGATCCCTGGTAACCAAAAAAAAAAAAAAAAGTCACATTTTCACAGAAAAGACATTAAAACTACCTCATCCAGTGCAACTTAATGTAAACATTACAAGACAAAAATTTTAAAAATATTGGTAAATTGGCTTTTGGCAGATTGCCTATTTATTCCACTAAATCTCTGATCAATTTATTAATTGTTCCAACTTCAAATTCTTGGGAAACCGGATGTAATTAGCGTAATTACAGGTTACAAATTTAATTACAAATTAAAATTACAAATATTGACTGACAATTTGATCTTACGTGGTTGGGGCATACTGGGGTGACATGACAGTGGAGTTGAGCAGATGTGCCTTTTAAACTGCCCAAACTGCCTATTATCTAAATGACTGAAACAGGATTCTAAACTTAGTTGCCTGATTTTTATCTAAATTTCATGCTTTTAACTATTTTGTTATATCATTTGTTTGAAGAAATATCACATAAGGCTATTAGGTAAGTCTGATTCATACTTTTAGCATATTATTCTAGAATCATTGGAGAGTTTCTGAAATAAATCACAACATATTACAGCATATGGTTGTCAATTCTGAATTTGTAAATCATCAACCAGTTCAGAAAATTATATATATATATATATTTTTTTTGAGATGGTCTTGCTAAATTGCTAAGTTGCCCAGGCTAAGCTTGAACTTGTGATCCTTCTGCCTCAGCTTCCCAGAGTGTTGGGATTACAGGCATGAGCCACTATACCTGTCTATATCTACATTTTCAAATGTTACATATATTTACAAAGATAATGTTCTTATCCAATATTAAATTGTATTTCATTTCTTTCCCAAATAGGCCAAAAATAAATTTAATGCACAACAAGCAAAAGAAGCAGAATTAGAATATTGCAGACGTACTGAAACTCTTGCAGCTGAAAAGGAGAAAGAATTTCAGGATTATGCCAGAGAAGTGATTGAACTTGAATCTGAATCAACAAGTAAATATATTTACCCTCTTGTAAAAGCTGTACAGGAAGGACCTGGAGGTGGCCGTGGACCAGCTTTTGTGGACAGAGGTGGATTAAGACCCAGCTATCAAGCAAATGATTTTACTGGAGTCCAGCTCCCTTTTTACAGTTCTCAGGAATCAAAATATAATTTACAGAAGTCTAAGGGAAGGCTAGGTTTTACATGGTAGAAAAATGTAAAGATTGAAAAGACTAGTAGCAAATATGAGCTACAAATGTAATATACTGTTAATAAAGCTGCTTTTCATCTCAGTACTATTATGCCCGACTTGCTTCTTCATACTATTTCCATTGATATATAAAACCACAGTTGACTTTCCTTTTTTATTGTAAATACATGAGGTCAAATTTTATTCAAACTACATTCACTGGTATCAAGTATATTCACAATACTGTGTGTCTATGCCTGTTTACTGCTCCAAATGGAGCCATGTATCCATTAAGCCGTAGCTCTCCAGTCTCCCTCTCAAAAGCCTCCTGCACCCACTAATCTGCTTTGTCTCTATAGATTTGTCTATTCTGTGCATTTCATATAAATGGAATCATATCATGGGCTTATTTTACTTAGTATATTTTCAAGGTTCATCCATGTCTCACAATGTACAGTATCATACTTAATTCCTTTTCTGGCTGAATAATATTCCATATATTTCCTTCTTCAGCAAAAATTCATATGCTTATTTGTTCTATCTTTCAGTACTTAAGTATCAGTATCAATGTTATTACTAACAATAAGATTACTGAATATAGTTTAGACTTGTGGTTTATTTTGTAGAGTGTATCTCACCAGATATGTTCAAAGTGCTGTTTTGCCACCAGCTTGATACAGATTCAGGTCTTAATGAATCCCATTTGCCTGCTTCACAGAACCTAAGTTACCATCATAACGACCCCCAAGTATACAATTCCATAGTGTTAACTATATTCACTTGGCTGGGAACCTCTGGAACTTTGCCAGCCTGCACGATTGGAGCTCCATACACAAGAAGCAACTACTCCCTACTGCCCACTTCCCTTAACTTCTGGGAATCACCATTCTAATTTCTGTTCCTAGAAATCTGACCACTCCACATACCTCATGTAAGTGGAATCACAGACTATTTTTTGGGTAACTATTTCACTTTGCATAATGTCCTCTAGTTTCATCCAGCGTGGCATGTACATTTCCTTCTTTTTTAAGACTGAATAAACTCTCAATGTATATTATATATACCCTAAGTGTATATATACTGACATTTACATATATACTTTATCCATTCCTTCAAAAATGGATCCTTGGATTGCTTCCACCTCTTGGCTGTTGTGAATAATGCTGCTGTGAACATGGGTATATAAATCACTCTGAGATGCTCTGTCCTTTTTGGATATACACCCAGGAGTGGAACTGCTGAATCACATTCTACTTAAAATTTTAGTGGGCCGGTGATTTAGCTCAGTGGTTCCACCTCCTGCCTCCAAAGTGCAAGGACCAGAGTTCGATCCCCGGTACCAAAAAAAAAAAAAAAGTATGTAGGTTATTTTTACACAGAATCATTTTTACTTAATAGCTTCTAGAGATCAGAGCACAGCAGTGCATAAAGACCCTCATATTTTCTCCCAACTGGCAGAGTATTTTGTTTACTGAGCCACTGACACACAAGTAGGTATTTGGGTAGTTTTTAGTGCTACAAATTTCTGTAATTAGGAGCTTTATGTTGTCTGTTCTTGACAGGGTGCCTCTCAGATCCCTATAAATGGGAGTGCTGGGTGAAGGTCATTCTCTGAGATGAAAACTAAAAAAAAGTTTTCAGGTCATCATCCTCTGGGAATGTTAATTTACTGTTTCTTCAGTACTAAGGAACATCCTAAATTTTCCATGTTATTTTAGAGCTGACTCTTTAATAGCCTGCAGTGACCCTCACCCAAAAATGATTGTGCCTAAGTACATGTGGGAAGGGGATGACCATCTATACTTTCAAAAATGGTGAGCCAGGCATGGTGGTGCACCCCTGTAATCCTAGCCTATCACTCTATATATTCTAAATCTGCAAATGTGAAGATGCCAAGGGAGTACAGTCGATTAACAAAAGGGCAGCTGGTGGAACATTTACATTTTTCAAGGGAATACACAGAATGTGGGACTGATAAAACACTGGAGGTTGTTACTAGCTTGAGACAATATATTAAATGCACTGTTCCTTCTGATCATATGCTTTTTTTTTTTTTGCGGTACTGAGGATCAAGCTCAGGACCTTGCACTTGCCAGGCAGGCATGGTGTCAGAATTACATCCCCAGCCCTGACCATATGCTTTTTGTAAAGCTGTATTCTTAGGGGTTGATGGGATTAAAACTCAAGTACTACACAAAGATCAATGTATTAAGGGAAAAGGGTGGGAGTAGGCATCAAACCTAACCCCAAGCTTTGAGATTAGTAGATTTTTAAATGTTAAATTGGCTGTGGTAGTGCATGGCTGTAATCTTCGTACTCAGGAGGTTGAGGGAGGGGTATCATCATGTGTTCAAGGTCACCCTGAACCACATAGTGAGACCTTGTCTCAACATCCTCCCAAAAATTTTTTTGCAAATATCTATAGAAAATGTTATAAAAATAAAAATTATAAACCCATTAATTTATAAAAATTATAAATTTATTACAATTATAATCAAAATTATAAATTTATTGATTTATAAAAATGTTAGGATATACTTTAGCTAGGTGAACTATTTAATAAATGTTAGGTGTTACTTAGGGATAGCACCATGTTGAAATTACTGGAATGCAAGGGGTAACGTGAACCAACAAAGTCTGGGAACCTCTGCCATATAGCCTTTCCTTTAAATTAAGCTTGTTATCTAGTGGTGATTCGTAACTTTAGAGGGGTGTAGCTCTATGGTAGAGCATTTGCCTAGTACCATCACCAGAAAGAAATAAAGAAAAAATTAAGGTAAAAACTATTTTCACATTGTAAAACAAAGTTTTATACAAAACACAGATATTCCTCATTTAATGACAGTTCAGACTTAAAACCCTCTCTTTATACAGTTCTATACAACTTGTTTACAGAGCCTCAATGTCTTTTTGGTGTGGTACTTCTCATACAGTATTGTAATTTTTGCTGATTGTACTGTATAGTAGTTTTATGTTGTTATACATTATAGTACTGCATGTAAGAGTTATGCAAATAAAGTTATCAAGTTGGAGTTTTTTGACCATTTCTCTGTTCTGAATATTGTAATGTACACACAATATACAGTTCCTTATTTAGCAACCAAGTAAGCCAACAACACAGTTGTAGGAACAAACTTGGTTGTTAAATGAGGAGTTTGCAGCAAATCACATAAAACAGATGTATAACCAACTTATGCTGAGTGAAGGATTAGGCCCACTAGTTTTTCTCCCTTACATATACAATTTATTTCTTTCAATTGGGCTGAACTTTTAGAATACATTATAAGAGTACATGACTAGAGTACAAGGTTATGCAAATTACAAAATAATTACAGAAAAACTGGTATAGTATAAAAATAGCTGTAATTTAATTTGAAGAGAAATTGATATAAACTGAAACCAAGACATTTTGAACACTAAGAGAGGGGGAAAAGGTGCAAAAATTACAAATTGGCACCTTAACAAAAAGTAGTGTAGTATTAAGGGAATGTTTAGGAGTGAAATTTAAAGTAAAAAAGCTTAGCGCAGTGGTGCGCGCCTGTAATCCCAGCTGTTCAGGAGGCTCAGGGAAATCTTGAGTTCAAGGCCAGCTCAGGCAAGAGCCAGAAACCCCATCTTTTAAAAAAAAAAAAAAAAAAAAGGAAAGAAAATAAAGCAAATTATTGCTGAATGTGCTTTAATACACAATTGGTACAGTTTATGTAGCACTCATACTTTACATATTCTCGGTAAAGCATTTAAAAACACTGCAGACTTCAAGTTTTAATGATATTCACCTGTTAACATGCACAAACCACTGAATATCGAGGAGTTTTTACCTATGCATATATTTTCAAATTAACTAGGTTCATTTTTCCTAAATGTCGAAATAAAAATAAAGCCAAATAAAAATTAGACATTTTGTTTTACAAAAGTAATCATTATATGGATTTACAATAGCATTAAATTAAAATGACAGGCACAGGACATACTGTAGTAGCCTTAATGGTGAGAGATTTGGAGGAATTAAAAAGCAAATGGTAGCATTCTAATAGTAACACAAATTCCCTATGATGAATCTGATTATTATGTATATCTAAAATGTACCAATAAATTTAATTTTAAAAAAGGACATAGCAGAAAAAAGTTTACTGGGGCAAAAGACATAATGCAAAAGGAAATATGATTAAACATTCACACTAGAATTTATTTCCAAACCTGGAAATCATCACTGCTGACTAAATTCTTTAAGAAATTTGATCTTGTTAAACTCTGCTTTTCTCAGTAAATAATTTTATATTCCCATGGGAAAAATACGTGTATTTCAGTTGGTTTATTTTCATTATTTAGCTTTTAATGAGAAAAAAAATGTCAACTAATACAATAATTTAAAGAATACAAAACCAAATTGTTTGTTATAGTATAGTTTATTTAATACAATGTTTAACTATAAAAGTTAATACAGCTTTGAAGTTTAAATTTTGTAAAATGCAGTTTGCAGAAAACAGTCCAACAGTAACTACACTAATGATAGGAGAAGCAGCATTATGAAACTAATTTTACAATTGAGGAGACGACAATTTTTTTTCTAAATTTCATTAAAAAAATATACATCACAGTGACTTCTGAGCTAGGAAAAGAAGTACAGTAACTTCATTATGTTTTCCCTTCCACAAAAAGCAGCCGCAACTTTGAATATGTCCACACACAGAAATACCCAATTCATTTATCAGTCTTTGAAAATACTATGAACACACAAAGGAGGAAGAAAATATACAGCATGTGCTTTTGGTTAACATATAATTTGCTGGGGTGCGGGGAGCAGAAACACAAATGAACCCCACCATACCCTTCCACACCTAAAACCAAAAAACCCTTCACCAACTCCCTTCTCCAACCTTGCTGATGGAATTCTTTTCATGTGATTTGTAGTTTTCTTTTCCTTTAATATTTACTTCTTTGTCACACAACAAGCCAGAGTTTGCCTCTGCCTGAATCCCTTAAAGGCAGCTGGGAAGCCCACTGCACCAGGTGTGTCATCCAACACTGCACTCCTTAGGGATTTTATTTTTCTCCCCAAACAAGTATTTGAATAAAACACAAGTTTTTACAATAAAAGTTTATCAACCTACAATCCATGGAGAATTTATTCAATTGTAAATGTATGAATCCTAAGAGAATAATTATAGTAAAATAACCAAAACAAGACAAAAATATCCATTTTTCTTTATACCAATTAGCCATATGGTATATATTTAAAATACCTTCTAGTGAAGGCAAGGCCAAAAAGTTTCTACAGAAATTTACAAAAAAGCTCAGTGTGACGAAATTACCACCTAAAGTACAACAAACTACTAAAAAACATACTAACTTGCTCCAAAAACTAAATATAACTTAGAATTGCCAGTTATTACAATTATCCAAAATACTAGAAACCCAATTTGTGCCTGTCCATAACATAATGAAATCTTGTTTGAGTTTCATACCTTCCATTGGGCACAAGAATCAAAGGCCATTCAGCAAACCCACCATGGATCAGTATCAGTGCAAAGACAGATTCATTAGATAAATTCTTTGCAACTTCAGAAGGCTTCAATTAGTTAACTTAAAAGATATTACATAACCTATGAACTCACCAACTATAGAGTAATTAAAAACTTTTAAACTCAACTGTTGATTCTCATCTGTTCATTAATCTCTCTCCAGTACCAGTTTCTGGGGCAGATACCTTACACAGAAAAAAAAAAAAATTCACATGATAATCATAAAAATTCTATGTACTAAATTTTTTGCAGCTATCACCAATCAAGTAATAAAAAATGAAAATAACTGTTAAAGACTATTAAGTTAAAGACAGGTATGAACTGTAAACTCAGATGTAACTGTAAAATCAATATGATGGGAAAAATTAAACAACTGATTTCTAGGCAAACAATGTCCAAAGTAAACATTAAAGAAGGCACAACTGGGATGGGGATTTAGCTCAGTGGTTCCGGTGCCTGCCTTGCAAGTGCAAGGACCCGAGTTTGATCCCCGGTACCAAAAACAAAAACAAAAACAAAACAAAACAAAAAAAGATGGCACAACTACTAAAAATGTAATAAAAGGAAAGGACCTCTTGAGGCTTTGCTATTCAGATGTGAGTGTAGATCTTAGGGTATAAATTAATTCTGCCTAATCATCGTTTTCCAAGTTTTTTATACTCTGAAAATGTCCTTTTTCATCTCAACTCCTTCACATCTGTTTTATGGAAACAGCTAGTAAAGCTTTTTTAAAAAAGACCCCTATATATAATGCTTAGAATAGAGTTGTCTTTTGGTAACACTGCATATGAAATTACCTTTCCTCCCTATGGATACTTTTTGAAACTCAAGATTTGGAAAGTACTTGTCGATATTCTTAATAGATAAAACTCACGGACTTTAAAAAATGTGTTATCAGAAATTCTTTCTTAAATAGTACCTGTCTTAAAGTTCAAATAATTTGTCAGTTTTAAAAATGCAACTTACTGAATTTTTAAAACAATAATTTAAAATATATAACAGATCATAGAGCTTGGGTACTCAGACTCAATATATATATACATATATATATATTTTTTTTTCTGATACTGGGGATTGAACTCAGGACCTTGCACTTGTGAGGCAGGCACGGTGCCACTGAGCTAAATTCCCGGCCCTCAATAATTCTTAATGTGGGTCTGTGGTCAGTTCCTAAGGAATCACTCTGAATTATAATAAACATCTACTACTTTTACAGGAAATAAAATTAGGAAAAAAATCCATTCTGGATATTTGTTTCAAGATATTTTAAACAAACTTAGAATCATTACACTATTCTGCAACAGCTACAATGCCAAATGATTACTATATTAATCAATAATGGGAAGTATTATGCTAAGCATCACTATTCAGTACAAATAGCACTGGGTAGCTAATGGAGTTATCAAGAATCTACCTTGGTAATAAAGTTAACACTATACTGACAAATATTAAAGTACAAAACTCTCTAGAGTCCACTATTGATTGGAATTTTGAAATTTCTTTTAAAATGAGGCAGGTTTTGTGTTTGCTGGATGTTCAATGTTTTCTTCAGAAGAGATATTACAGAATAAAAGGCCACACATCACAAAAATGGCAAAATACAACACACAAAATTCTGAATGGACTTTGGATGTGTTTAGTGTTTAACTCTGTAAGCTACCAAATTTTGCAACTTTCTGTTTTACTCTACATGGCAGTGTTTTACATGCCAAGTTAAAATAATATTAACAGTGATGGTACAAAGCCATAAAGCCACCTGAGTAGAAAGAAACCAGAGTCATAAACATGCTATAGCCTCATACATTTATAGAAAAGATGCTCTTTTTTTTTGCCATTTGAAACTCACAGCTATGAGAGATAGAGAAGATACTTCAAGTTTAAAAAAACAAAAAACATGCAGAGTTAACACTCAATGCTAGATAGGTTGGTGGCCAAAAATCAGAAATCTTAGAAGTTAACATATCAATAACAACACTTTTTAGAATCTGTCTAGCTTAAGGACCCGGAGAAGCTGTACGTTTTAATGAGTTTTTTTTTTAATTTTAGGAAAAGAAAGTAAAAATAATAATGTTCTCATAAAGCAATAATTTCAACTCTTCAGACCAAAACCAATAAAAAATTGAGAATTAAAATCTGATCTTCCTGTAAAATGCTGTATAACAGCAATTCAAGCTCAATCAGCACATCAACTGAAAAAAATTATGTTAAGATTCTTACAGACAGGTAAGTAAAACACAACTAGACAGAAATATTAATAAGAAGATATGAAACAAGACAACTAAATGTTCATCTATCTTAAAGCACAAATAACTATAAAATCAAAAGTGATGATTTAAGATCTCATATTATTAGGATCCTGCTTCTATGTAATTAATGTATCTTTTTTTTTTTTGGTACCGGGGATCAAACTCCAGTCCCTGCGCCTGCAGGGCAGGCCGCAGAACCACTGAGCTAAATCCCCGGCGCACTTCTGTGTAATTAAAATAAATTGATACAAGCCTCTATTATAAATGCAATCATAAAATCTATACAAAATTTCCTCTAGTGGTGTCTAGTTACTTTAATCACAAGAAACGCAAGCTTTTGTAACAATCGAATGCAACCATCAGTTCTGCTTATTTCCAAATGGCTGATTAAACAAATTAGGATGCTGTTGGCCGATTACTGCAACACAAAAATGCATACATTAAAATAGTTTAACATAGCACACAGTGTTACACCAAAATGTTTTTCTCATTTCAAATTTATTAAAACTTTAGCAGTACAAATAATCCAGGTTGCAGATTATCAAAAGATCAACTCAATGAAGTCCACATTAAAAAAAAAAAAAAGGATAGACAACTCAAAAAACAATGAAAACAACGTAAAGGATATTCACCAGCAAGTCCCTAAAACTTAAGTTTTGAGACAGAAAGGAAATAAATTTATACAACTCACTCATCCACTTTTGTCTTCATCTGTACCAGGGCTAGATTCATGATCAAATTTTTTGTTTTTATCATGTACATGGTCATTTTCTGGAGCCTTTGATTTTTGGTTTTCATTTTCCACTGAGGATCTGGTCTTCTCATCCTCCTTAGTTTTCGATGTGGAGGACTTTAATTCACTGTCTTGGCTTTGTTTTATTTTTGAGAATGGACTTTGATCTCTATCACCCTTTTTTTCCCTGTTACTACTTGAGCTATTATGATCACAGTTTTTAGAGTACATTCTTTTCTCACCCTCAGAATTTTCTTTTCTGTGTGAGCTCTTACTTTCTTGGTTTCTATGTTTTTCCTTGTTTCTGCTTTGACTTTCTTCTCTCTCTGAGCTCCGTGAATCTCTCCTCCTCCTTCTCCTATCTTTACTTCTTGATCTTCCTGGTGTTCCTCTTCTCTCTCGGCTTCGTGACCTTCCTCTTCTCCTGTACTCCTCTCTGTATCTATGGTACTCCTTGCTTCTGCTTCGATCTCTGTCATGGCTTCTGGATCGCGCTCTTCGGCTCCTGTCCCTACTTCTGCTTCGTTCCCTTGTTCTACTATTGTAACTGTGTTTACCTTTAGTTACATCACGTTCTCTACTCCTGGACTGTGCGCGTCTATCCTTTTCTTTACTTTTACTATGATCGTGCTCATTACTTTTTGATTCTATCTGCTTAAACTTCTCTTTACTTCTACTCCTTTCTTGATCTTTTCCTTTAGAATCAAATTGCTTTTCTTTTTCTTTAATATTCTCATGATCTCTTTCTTTACTCCTCGACTTCAACCTCCTTTCATCATGTCTGTTATGTTTTGAATCTCTTTCCTTACTCTTTGATTTCTCTTTGCTTTTACTCCTACTTTTAGATTTGGCCCTTTTCTTCACTTTGTTTTTATTATATTTATCTTCTTTTTCTGAATTTTTTCTGATTTCTCTCTCTTTGCTGTCAGATTTATGGTCTTTAACTTTCTTTTCCTTTTCATTTTTTCTGTTTGGACTTTCAGACGCATGCCTGTGATCAGTTATTTTTCTCTCTTTTACTCTAACTGGGCTCCTTTGATTTTCTTTCACTTCATTCAACTCACTCCTAAAGAGGAAAAAATGATTTTTTGAAATGTTATTAGGAAAAGAACTTGCAATTAGCTAAAAGACACTATTTTTATTAAAGTATACAGAAATAAAATAGCTATCAGTAAAATAATTTTACGTACAACAGTTAAAATACTTATCACTACATTTTAAACCATAGTTGATCTTACTTATCCCCTTTGATCCATCTTTCACCACTCGATACCCTCATTCGTTGAGCTCTCTGCATCTCTTGCCTCCAATGTGGAGGAGTCTCACTACGTCTGAAACGATCCCTTGATCTGGATCTGGAAGGAGTTCGATAACGCTTAAGATAAGAAAGGGAAAAAATTAACATATAAAAATTTTAAAACAATACAATAGCAAAAGCATATATATTTATAGGTTTAAAAAATGGTGTTTCTGTGTCCTCTAAAATTACTAACATTAGGGCTGGGAGGTGTACCTCAGTGGCAAAACATAGGCTTGGCATGAGTGAGGCCCATGTTCTACCCAGGACCAATTAAATAACTATCAATAAGCAAACAAAAAGCTGGGCATGGTGGCGAATGCCTGTAATCCCAGCACTTGGGAGGCTGAGGCAGGAGGATCACTTCGAGTTCAAGGCCAGCCTGGGCTACTTAGTGAGTTCAGGGCCAGACTGAACTACAAAGGGAGACCCTGCCTCAAAAAACCAAAAAA